TTTTTTTTTTTGCGGAACCAGGAATTGAACTCAGGGCCTTGCACTTGCCAGAGAAGCGCTTATTCCACTGAGCCATCTCCCTAGCCCCGATAAAAAATTTCTTGGATCAAAAGCCTCACTATGTATTCAATCACCCCTTGTGATCGATGCTATCTGGTTCTAGGACCCAAACTTCCTGACCTCCAGCTGAGGATCTACTCAAGGTAACTGATTTATAGGGGCCAAAGTCAGAGGAAAAAATCACATCCCCAAGACTGGCAATGAACAAATTCATTGCTCTTGGACATTAAGGTCCTTGTCATTCCTTTTAAAGGTGGAAAGAGGCAGGGCTGGGTTCAGGCTCAGGCCCCCAAACCACCAGACTCCCCTGGGAGGCGGCAATATCTCCTCATCCCTCACCACACACGTGTCCAGCAGAAGTCAGGGAAGCCTGCAGCTCCCCCTGATAGTGGTGGTGCCTTTCTCAGTCAGCTTCCGGGGGGGGAGGGTCTTCATTCTGGCTTCTGTGCACTAGCTGGGCCTATGGAGGCCCTAATCACTGGCTGGGACAACTCTGATCACCCTAGCATGGCCCTGCCTCGGTGCCTGGCACACGGATGGGGACCACCTCTGAGGGAAGAAGGGCCCCTGTCCCCTCAGGAGACTTAAGGGCTCCCTTGCTCACTCCCAGGGACTCATTGGTTCCTGTGGGCAGGGGAGGGGCCACTGTGTGAACTCAGGACCTTCAGGCCCCTCCACTGTCAGGAAGAATCAAGGTCATCCCAGCCTTGGAAAACCCACCCCAGGCCTGAGGTAATGGGGGCCACTGTGGCTTAAGCCCCTATTCCCCCAAACCCTCTAAATACTGCAGTGGGGGCGGTGACTGCACAAAGATCCATATAACCCGACAGGCTAGGCAGGGACTAGAAGGGTGGGTTGTCACAGCCCACGAGACCTAGACCACTGACTAGAACCCCAACCTCGACCCAGACCCCAAGGCAGGGCGGAGCCTCGGCTGCGGGCGGGGCGGAGCCGCGAAGGTTCTGGGTGCTGTGTCGTCACCGTCGCCATGGTCGTCACGGTCGCTACCGTCTCCACCTCCGTCACTACGCCCGCCCGCACCGATAAAACCGTGGGGAGCCGGGCGGGCGGGCAGGCGGGAGGCGCTAGCGCCGGGGCGGTGACAGTGACAACGGTGACGCCGGCTCAGGGACCGTGGCGCAGGGACCGTGGCGATGGTGAAGGAGACGCAGTTCTACGACGTCCTGGGCGTGAAGCCGAGCGCGGCGCCCGACGAGATCCGCAGGGCCTACCGGAGGCTGGCGCTGCGCTACCACCCCGACAAGAACCCGAGCGAGGGCGACCGGGTGCGGGGACGGGGACAGGGCGGGGGGAACTGAAGGGGATGGGGAGGGGCACAGGGGCCCTGGGTGGCCGAGGGGGATCAGGAGACCGAGCAGCCGAGGAGAAAAGGGAGTAAGGGGTAGGAGAAATCCAGGGGGGACAGGGGCCCCCGGGAGACTGCGGGGAGATAAAGGACCTGGTAACCAGGTAGGGTGCTATGCGCTTCCACCCCACGAAAACCCCAGGCAGAAAAACGGGATGTGGGTGCAGGGGACTGGGATAGGGGCAGGGGGTCCTGGGAACCAAGTGGACTGGGATGGGGGCAGGGAGGACAGGACAGGGGACCACAGACCAGGTGTAGGAACTTGGGACAGGGGGTGGAGTGGGGGGAACAAAGAGTGTGGCAGAGGTGGTGGGCACTGGGATCAGGGTAGTCCAATCTGCTGGTGGGGGCAGGGACCAAGACCCTAGCACCTGCCAGTCTCTGTCACTCCACCAGTGACTGAGATCTCAATCCCTTGGGTCTAGGCATGAAGGCTCCTGTAGGGCCCCCATGGGACTCTAAGGCAGTGGCAGAAGTGGGGCACCAGTTGACACTGTGGGTCACTGGGCTGCATTGTGCTAGGTTCTCTGTCACTAACAGTGGGGTGACTTCCTGTCCTCCAATCTGCTTTGCACACACCCAGGTCCCTCCTAGAGTTCCCTCTTGCCCACCCAACTCGCAGACACAGAGGAATCTGGGACCCACACAGCTATTTGTCATGCGTGTTCCAGTTTCATTGACCACAGTCAATCCTGGGTGCCTCATAGGCTGGGCATGCCAGTTCTGAGAGACCTAAATTAAACTTGTCCTGTCATTTACAGCGACATCCTGCCTCTGTCCTAGGATGACACAGCCCACCTGAATAGGTGACTTGGATCATGAAGGACAGCCAGGTGTCCCTTCACTGCTGGCCATTTTCTTACAAAACTCTGGGAATCCTGAAGAGGCCAGAACAGCTGATAGCAGTGATCCTAGGCCACTTTTGAAGCCACCATCACCAGCTAGCCTTTAGAACTGAGGCGACAATACATGGATCAAAAGACCTGCCTGCCTTAGTTATTGCCAGCTGGGACCAACTGCTCAGGGAAGGTCGGCTGGTGGAACAGTGATAGAATATTTATATTTAGCCTTGTGCTGAATGTGACTGTCATAAGTTTAAAATGCTTCAGTGCGAGACCGTTCGTCCCTCCCTGCCGGCGTCCAATCCCTCTATATTTAGCTGGCTTACTGTAGCTCTGAATGTCCCAGGCTTGCTGTGTGATTCACAGACTTGCTCCCTGTCACTGGTGTCTCTTCTGAGGGCTCCTGGCTTGTCAGTTCATGTTCCAGCTGGCTGGCAGCAGCTGTGTGTGGGAAAGCCTCTGACCTGGTTTTAGGTCAATCCTCATAGTCATTACCCTGTGTGAGTTCACAGCCGTGTGCATATTGAGTGAAATGAGTATGCTCTTGAGATCTGAAGCTTAAAAGAAAAAAAAAAAGTAGCTTTGCTCTTTATATGTGTATAACTTTCACTCTGTATATGCCTGTCTGGGCATGTTGTTTGCTTGGTTTTTAACTAATACATATTTCTAGCCAAGCCATGCATTCATGTCAAGCCAGTAAAGCACTTAGCAGGGAGGTCCAGCAGCCCCTCTCAGTTTGCAGGGGGGTGGTCTGCAATGTGCCTAGCACCAGGAATGCTTTTCCTTCCCTCCCTTCCATAAAAGGGACAAGAGCTTTCATTTAGTGCCAGGGGGACATCTTCCTGGGAGCTATCTTTGGCCCAGTGCTCATAGGCTTTCGTGGTGACTACTTGTCCTCTACCTGTGTCTAGCATGGGCAGCATGTGTCCAGCTATGCCATGGGGTGCCAAAGGAGATGTGCACCTTAACACATTCTGGGTGTGTACAGAGCAAGAGAGCAACATAAGGAGGTGGAATGGAGGGAGACTGCCAGGAGGAGGGAGCTGGGGAAGCCAGTGGGCATTTGCATTCGAATCAAATGTAAATCATTTGTGCAGACACCCCACTGCCCAGCTTCCCAGGGTCGGCCTGTTCATCTTTTCACTCGCCAAGCACTCCCTGTCTAGGCTGGCCACACTGCAGAACTTTTGTTTATTGTGAAGGTCTTTACATAATTTAAGCAGAACTCTTTTTTTCCTCCACCTAACTTTGTGACTGTATTTTCATTGGAAGACACTTTTTTATTTTTTTCCACCTGAATTTGTCACTGCATTATTAATGTCTCTTCAAAAATAGATTAGCTGATCCTTTTCCACTTTGCACTGGGACAACTGAGAAGGCTGTGGGTGTTGGTCTTTGTTTTTGCCCAGTTGTCCTGTGTTGCTAAGTGTCAGGCAGCCTGCGTTTGTTGTCACACATTGCTCTGTTTATCTGTCTCCTCTGCAGCTGGTTTTCTGCAAGACCTGGGGTGGCAGATGGCAGCCAGCAAAGTGATCCCTTTCGGGGTCGCAATGGGGGTATCTTCCTGGCTGCTGCCCTGTTGAGATGAGTTTGGTCTTTTGGCCAATTTCTTGGTCACTTTTAGTTTGAATAGTAGCTCTTCAAGGTAAAAATCCTGACAATGTGACGTTTCAGAGTACAGAAAAAAACATCACTAAGAACACCCCTGTGTGTCTTAGAGAAACTTCTCCCAAGGTGACTGTATATGGCCAGCCTGGTACATGGGCTTCTTTCCCTCTCTCTTCACTCAGCATTTTATCATAAATACTTTTCAAGTTGCTGTGTTGTCTTCTAAGGCCATCTTCTCCAGCTGCCTCATTGGCCATGGAGGTTTTGTGCAGAAGATCACAGTCTGAAAGGTCAGAGCTTTCATCTCTAGCAGAGGGAAGGGGTCCAGGCAGGAGCTGAGTTAGAAGCTGGAGTCCTAGGTCCCAGAGACTGGGGCGGGGGGACACGAAAGGCAGGGAGGTCCCCTTCCCTATGAGACCCAGCTTATGATCAAATGCTTCAGTGACTCTAGGCTTCATCTAGTAAGCCTGGGGTTCTGTAAGTACCCATGGTGTTTGGTAGGCATCTGCATGGAATGTGCTGTGTGACCCTGACTTGCAGACAGGCTCAGACTTGCTAGGGACAGCATGGGCTTACTGCTTTCCAGTTGTCCAACACAGCACCTCACTCATATGCTACAATGTTTGTGCTGAAGAATGGAGTGATCCTGGAGGAAAGCAAAGAGGTTGGCAGAGCTTGCGCAGACCTTGGTCCAGGAGAGGATGGGTCAGGTTGCTAGGTGACCTGGGACCAGCTTTTACTCTCAGGGACTAGGGCTGTCAGGGAGGTTTGGGCAGGGCATTGGTGAGGGTGAAGAGAAGCTGGAAGCGGGGCAGAGAAGCTGGTGCAGTGGTCCAGGCTGCTAAGGGCATGGCGAGCCAAGGTGGATGGTGGCAACGGGGAGGAGGATGGAATTTAGTGTTCAGGTCATGTTTTGGAGCTGTCCACATGCTTGGAGAAGAGATGAGAGTAGCCCAGGGAATACCTGCATCCCTTCAACTGGCCCACCAGTGATAATTAATGACTGCTAGTGGTCTCTGTTAGGTTAATAAAAATATTCATGCAGAGAAAGCACACTGCTTTATTAATACTATTTGCTTATATCACAGGCACTCAGTGCTAATTAGTTCAGCCTGTTTTTCCTAGGAACAAGGACACCTTTGTAGGTAACCATAGTACAGTTATCAAATACAAGAAGTGTAAGGTTTCTTAAAAACTGCATTTCTTCGCTTGTTCCTATAATGCCTTTGGTACCTTTTCTCCTGTGGAGAATCCACACTCACCCTGTTTGGTTTCCTTACTTTCGCACAATGAGTTTTCTGATTCTGACAGTTGGGTTCCACTGGCCGAGTTTTGGCAGCAATGTCACACTTGGATACTGTGTCTGTCTCAGGGACACCAGTGGGAAGGTAGCACCAGTGGGGTCTGTTGTAGGGTGTGGTTGGTGGTGTCAGTAGCTGCAGTGTCCGGGAGACCTAGGAAGGGACAGACATCCGGGGAACGTGAGTGCAGCTTGAACTCTGTCTGGCGTGTGCGGGGTGCCCACAAGTGCCTGCAGGTGAACTCCACACTCCTTGAGTAAACTGATCCCTGGAAACTCAAAGCCATGGAAGCACCTGGAGTCCTGGGCTATGTCCGGTGACAGAGGCAGCTGGGCTGGTGCTCACTGCTCCTTGCTGGACTCCACTTTCCTGCCTGGTACAGCCATAGTGGGGAGAAACTTTCCTTCACCCTGCTTTCTCTCTAGTTCTCGCAGTGTCCTCATCAGTTCCTCCATAGCAGTGGTCCTGTGTGTCCCACTTAGAGAAGAAGCAAGCCAAGTAGAAGGCAGCTCCCAGCAGCTGGAGGGATTGAGTACAGGCCCCTCTGAGATTGGTTTCTATTTCAATGGTGTGTTTCTTTTAATAATAATAAAAAAAAGACTCAAACCTCCTCTCTCTCTTAAAATGTTTTTCTCTCTTCTTTTAAAGTTTAAACTCATATCCCAGGCCTATGAAGTGCTCTCAGACCCAAAGAAAAGGGAGATTTATGACCAGGGCGGGGAACAGGCGATTAAAGAAGGAGGCTCAGGCAGCCCCAGCTTCTCCTCCCCCATGGACATCTTTGACATGTTCTTTGGTGGTGGAGGACGGATGGCGAGAGACAGACGAGGTAAATGTTTCTAAAGAGATGAAAGCAAGTTTTGTTGTTTGCAAAATTGCACACATTGCTGGAATCAGGATGGATTGTGTTTACAAGGGTACAATTGTCACGTTTGGGGATCATGAGCTCGTTCCTTGTCTCAAGAGTTGTCTGTTCCTGAGGACCAGGTGTTCACCATCCTGGGTGCAGATACAAGAGCTGGGCAGAGGAAAGAGTCCACAAATCAGAAATAATCAAAGAGCTCGTTGCCCAAGGAGAAGTTTCAGTGAGGAGTCACTAGACTAGTATGCTTAGCAACTCTTACAGCCTTCAAGTCCTGGATGAAGGAGCAAATGCGATTGTGGATAGAAAGGAGAAAGGTCAAGGCCCTTTTGTCCTCTCTTGTGGGGTTGAGGCATGAGGGTCTCCTGAGGGAGAAATCTACCTGCCCTCGCCTTTGGCGTGGGTCCCCGCCTAATCCAGAGCCAGCTGGTTGTCCCATTCCAGGTGGAACCTGCTGCATTCAGTGCCATCACATTCTCCTAGCCAGCTAAGGGTTTTCTGGATAACAAAATTCACCTCCTCATGTTTTATAAATGGCCTCCAGTTCTGGGGTTTGCTCTTCCTCATTTTTCCTTCACCAGGCTTCAGAAATCATCTCTGCGGTCAGTGGTTCTGTGTGTCCCAGTCCCTTTACTCCTGCCCTGTGACTGCTGATAAGCTGCCTTGCATCCTAAAACAAGATAGACAACCCAGCTTAACTACATCCCTTGATAAAATCAGGAGAAAAAAAAAAGCTCTGTATTGTTGTAAGAAATTTGGTTTTGGTCAATGACTTCCCTGGAGAAAGGCATTAGTGCTCACATTATAATTGACTTTGAGCTTTAAAAACTTCACTGCCAATCCTGTGAACATCCTGTGCTGAAAGTCATCAATTAAGGAACAGTCCCTGCCTGTCCTCTGGTATGTAACCTGCTCATGTAATTGATGAAGTAGATGTGATTAAAACTCTGGACATTCTTTTGCCCAGCTGCTTGCTGCATTAAGATGAACAACTTCACGCCCTTCATTACATCATCTCTCAGAGATGACAACCAGGCAACCAGGACATCTTGTCCCAGAGGCAGCAAGGACAGTGGGTAGCAGGAAGATCCAGCCTTAGGAGTTGTCCCTCCTTGAGGGATAGGTGCCCACCGTTCTGGGTGCAGATACAAGAGCTGGGCAAAGGAAATAGTTCACACTTGGGGACAAATTATAGAAACAAGAAATCGGTGCCCCAGGAGGCAGTTCTGGCTATCACACATTTATCTGTGAGGAAGGGCTGCTTTCATCAGGAAGACGTGGATCACCAACATCATTGCTAACATTGTTGTCAACTGTCACTGAGTCTTCTATATCTGTCAGGAAACTCCCTGTTCTCAAATTTTTTTTTCTCAGAAAATAAAGGTGGAAAGTCTTTTTGCTGACGCCCATAAATGATTGAGAACTAGTTCATATTAGATGAGGTGTTAACTCTCAGTGCTGGCAGAGGACGGAGGGTAGAACAAGTGCAAGGAGAATGTACCTCCTGCAGGAGAGGAGGAGGAGGAACCAGGATACTTACAGCACAGGGCCATGTGGGTGGAACTCAACACTGCAGTCTGTTTCTTACCCTATTACTAACCTTTTTTTTCCCCCTCTTATAAGGAAAGAATGTTGTGCATCAGTTGTCGGTAACTCTGGAAGACTTGTATAATGGAATCACCAAGAAATTAGCCCTCCAGAAAAATATAATTTGTGAAAAATGTGAAGGTAAAATTTTAATTTTTGAATGAATCTCACAGTTCTGATCCCATAGGTGTAGAAGTAAGTCTGCTTTTTCAGAGCAAAGAGGAAAAAAATAACATTTTATCCAACTCAAGGGTCAGGCACTGTCTACCAGTAGGCAGCCTGAGGCCACAGCTATTTCCCAAATGGATGTTTTATGTGGGCTGCATATTTAATTTGTTGATAGTTATTTTTATTTATTTATTTATTATTTTAAGGAAGGGTCTACAGGTTGTTCAGGGTCTCACTACTAGATTGGACTTATAGTGATCCACCTGTTTACAGCCTCCCAAGAGCTGGGATTGCAGGCGTGCGCCACCACACCCAGTCTCAATTGCCAACTCAGCGCACCCCAGGGGTGGGACTGGCACGGCAGACCCAGGGATTGACTCCCCAGCCCCTTGTGCCTGCTTGCAGGTGCTTTAATCTGCTGAGCTATGTGGCCATTCCTGATAGTTATTTTTAAGATGCCCAAATTAAAACAACTCACCTAACCTCAGGGTTGGGGAGGTTTTTCTGAAATAGTCTGTTGTAATCCCTCAACACTTGACTGGTTGCATCTGGCTGGGTCCAGCAGAGCTTTAGTGAACATGCAGTCTGGCCATCATTTAATGACCATCCATTCTGGTGTGGCCAAGGTTCCACTGTCTGAAAGATAATTGTCCAAGCTGGTGGCCACTTCCATTGGCAGAGTTCCTGTCCTTTGAATATCTGCCCATCCATCTCTCTGGTTTCTGACTCTTAGTGTTTTTCTACCCTGGGATAGATGAAAGAAAGTGCAATTGACGAGGCTAACTTAATACATTTGAATCAATAGAGTCCAAAACACAATCGTATGAGGTCACTTGTTTACATCTGGTATTGTCTGTGTGGCTAGGCCCCTTCAGACTCTCCACAGTGCTTTTCATTAGTGTAAAGAAATGTCCAGCCCATGCCCCCTGAAGCAGGAGATTTCCTGTCGTCCTGCTGTGGTGCCTTGTGGGATCTGGGAAGGGAACAGCAGAGTCCTTACCCCTGTCACCCTCCCACATCCCCAGGCATTGGTGGGAAGAAGGACTCTGTGGAGAAATGCCCGCTGTGCAAGGGGCGGGGGATGCAGATCCACATCCAGCAGATTGGGCCCGGCATGGTGCAGCAGATCCAGACTGTGTGTGTGGAGTGCAAGGGCCAGGGCGAGCGCATCAACCCCAAGGACCGGTGCGAAAACTGCAGCGGCGCCAAGGTGATCCGGGAAAAGAAGATTATTGAGGTACACGTGGAGAAAGGTGAGGCTGAGTGGAACTGGTGCTCCTCCTCAGGCTTGGCACCAGAGACTTGAGCTGCGCACAACCTGGAACCACAGGATGCTAGGGTGTGCCAGGAGTCGTCCTGACTCCAGGGCTCCCTTGACCCTCCTGGCCATATGTTCATCCCGTGCCATCTGCCAAGGGTTTCCTGTTGCATCTGCTTCCCTGCAATCACAGCCAACCTCTTTTAAGGTTTTCTGAGGCCCCCAAGTCTTACTTCACCTCAGCTGTGATTTACTGCCCTCTCCAAGCGGGTTCTGTCCCCTCCTTTGGGGTCCGTATTTTCTGTTCCCCATCAGAGCTCATGTCTCAATAGCTCATGCCCCTTTCCTCCATAACCCTGCCTGCGGCATCAGATTCTTCCATATAGATCATCTTCCCTTGCTGCTTGTCATGCTTGGTGCCATCATTGGATGGTGGCTTTCCATGCCCACAGACCAAAAGTCCAAGAATCAACACTCATACCAACTCAAGTACGGCGACAGGACTCCTGTGCTTATGTTCATACTATGTGTCAGAGACTCGCTAGCTGTCCTGTCCTCCTCAGTCCCCAGAACTATGTGCCATCTGGGAGGTGGGTGGTAGCCTCATGCTCACAGTGTGGCCTCCCTGAGTAGAGAAGCCCCACAGAACTCTGTGTTCCTTCTTCAAAAGCTCAGGGAAAATATGGTTTTTATGAGAAATGGCTAATCAGCAAGGGCTAATGTTCCATAGGTATGAAAGATGGGCAAAAGATACTATTTCATGGCGAAGGAGACCAGGAGCCTGAGCTGGAGCCTGGCGATGTCATAATTGTGCTTGATCAGAAGGATCATAGTGTCTTTCAGAGACGAGGCCATGACTTGATTATGAAAATGAAAATTCAGCTTTCTGAAGCTCTTTGTGGCTTCAAGAAGACTATAAATACACTGGATGATCGAGTCCTTGTTATCACAACCAGACCAGGTAACATCCCCAGTGCGCCCCTCTGTGCTTGCTCTGGGTGCTAGGTGTGGTGACCTCTGGGACTGGGATCTGATTTTCTCTAAAGTCATCTATAATGATTGGAGGATTTCCTTTCCTTTCTGTTTTCCTAGGGGAAGGAAAAAACCCACAGAAATGGGGGCAGAAGCAACCAATAGGAATCTTGGGGTCTGAAATTCTAGCGGCAATCTGTCAATTAAACTTCAATTTTATTTTTTTATTTCTGTTATTACTATTATTGGTTTTTAATATGAGCTCTCACTATGTAGTCTAGGCTGGCCTCAAACTCAGTGACACTTCTGCCTCAGCCCCAAGTGCCGAGATGACAGGCATGCACCACCACACCTAGCACTTCAATTTTAAAGAAGTTTAGTAGAAGGGAACACAGCTGCTGTTAGAAACCGTGGTGTTTTTCTGTCAATTGAGCTGTGTATGGATTTATCCACATTTCCCTCTGCCTCTGTATTGCCAACTGAACAGGAGACAGGGTTTAAAATCAAGTTTTCTGACACCAAAACATTGCCTGGCTGCTTCGCTTTGGAGGGTGCCAGGGAACGAAGGAGGTCTGGGGTCTGGGCTTAACCTCGCAGGATTGGTGGTCACCATAGCCTGGTGGGTGCTGGCCCTGTGTGGGTCCTAGAGTACCCACCACATAGGGGGAGGGTGTGGGCAGGGCAAGGCCAGGTCCAGGCCTTGTTTAAGCCCTTCCCAGGAAGCACACAGCTGTTTGTATGCCTGACACCCAGGCCTGGCTGTAGCCATCCATAGTGCTGCTCCGGTGCCTTCCTGGTCACAGGTCAGAAGCTGCTTCACCTTGGATGAGCTGGGCAGGGAGGGGTGGCTGGGAGGTGACCAGCTGATAAGCTTGTGCTGGGCGTGGTGACCATGGTGGTTGTGATAAGACCTGGAGTCCACAGAACCAGTGACACCCCTGGGCCACCCTCAAGAGCTCCCCTGCTCTGGCCTGGTCCTCTGTTGTCTCCCTGCCCACTGTGCTGGCCTATTCTGTTTCTCCCTGTTTCCTCTCATATTTCTAAGTCTTGACCTAAGTTTGTGTTTTTTAAAAAACTTTTTTAGTTGAAAATAATTTCAAATTTACAAAAAGTTATGAAAATAAAAACAACAGGAGGCCCCATAGCTGGTTTTACCTGTTAACATTTTACACCATGGGCCGGGGGTGGGGTGTATACACACACTGGTTCAAGGATTGTGGAAAGCACAGCAGTGTGGTGGAAAATTCTTTCTCTGTTTTAATTTTTTGCTCTACATACGCGCCCCCCCCCCCCCCAGTATTTGAATTCTCCATTCCTGTGGAGGAAGGTAAGGCCCAGGCCTGAGTTCTGTCCTAGACCCATTGACATCCTAATGGAATGGAGCCCTGGTAGGAGGAGGACACAGACACAGACAGACAGACAGACAGACAGACACACACACACACACACACACACACACACAGCCTGTGACTGGGTTGAAAATCCCCTCTTGGGCCAGGTGGACGCAGTAAGACCAGCAGTTTAGAGGACTTGCTAGAGCAGAGTGGTGTCTGCTGTGTGACACCAGGGCCCCCGCTCCTGCTACCTCCTAGGCCTGCCCCACTGTCCGTGACCGCAGGCCCTGGCTTCCTGTGTCACCCTTGATCTTCTCTGTGGCAGGTGAGGTGATAAAGCATGGGGACCTGCGATGTGTGCGCAACGAGGGGATGCCTATCTACAAGGCCCCCCTGGAGAAGGGGACACTGGTCATACAGTTTCTGGTGAGTGCACTGCGTTTGATCCGAGGGATGCTGCACTGCTGCCCTGCTGGAAGGGATGAGCCACTCATTCTGTCCCCTCTCACAGGTGACCTTCCCTGAGCAGCACTGGCTGTCCCCAGAGAAACTGCCACAGCTGGAAGCCTTGTTGCCCCCGCGGCAGAAGGTGCGGGTCACAGAGGACATGGAGCAGGCGGAGCTGCAGGAGTTCAGTGCCAGCGAGCAGGGCTGGCGCCCACAGCGTGAGGCCTATGAGGAGGACGAGGATGGGCCCCGTGCTGGAGTGCAGTGCCAGGCAGCATGACGCAGGGGGAGTGTAATGTTGGCACAATGAAATGGCGTCCAGTAACGGCTGTGTCTGGGGCGTCCTGTGTGTGTTCAGTCTTCTCCATGGCCAAGTGTCTTTGGATTTCTTTTGGTTCTGATTTAAGTTATGCTTGGTTTACATTTAAATGTTTTACATGTAAATCACTTCAGTCTGCCCATGGAATCTGTTAGTCCACACCTTTAGGACCGTACTGGGGATGCTGGTGACCACACGGACACTCTGTGCTTCTGGAAGCTTTGCTGTTGTTCAGCTCGTGGTAGCACTCAGCCCAGAAGCACACCCACCCCCTTGCAGGCTGGGAGGTACAGTGGGTATCTCAGCTGTGTCTGCCGATGGTTTCTTACCCTTGCACCCTGGCAGTTGCTGCAGGCCTGCATGCAGAGCTGCTCATAGGCTATTTCCGAGTCTAGGTTCCAGATGAATGTCTGCACGAACACAGGCGTGCCCTGGGCGTGGACCTAGCCTAGTCCTTTCGCTAGCCTAGTGCCCCCCGATGGTTGTCATGGGGCTTAAGAGCACTCACTTCTCCTGGAGATTCTCCGAACTTCCCAAGCCACTCAGGAGGACAAACCAGTGTCTTAAGTGGCCAAGGACATGTGATTTGTCTGTGACCCCCACCCAGTTTTCTGGTTTTCAAGCTTTTCTGTTGGAACCCCTGCAACCCCAGCCCACCCAAGTGCTTACTTGAAAATGAAACTCTCCTGTACCCTCGACAGCCTCAGACAGCAGCTGAAGGCACAAGAGGACAGTGACCTGAGCCATGAATGGTGGCCTCTGCCTGCTGACCCTAGTGACTTGAAGGACTGGGAAGGCACAGAGCATCCCACTGCATCCTCCCATATCCTTCAAGCTGGCCTCCTTTCTGGAGGGTCGTTCCTTACCTCGCAGTCACATCCCAAAGGATGTCCCCGAGATGATGCTGGTGGGAACAGGCAGGCTCTCCCGGGGCCTCATCCATGTGAACTCCTGTTGCCGATGCCAGTGCAGGGCACAGCCATGGCTTCCTCCCTGGCAGGCAGATCATAGCTTGATTTAGCATTACCTCAACTTCAGGCCATCACTACTCCTTTCTTTCCAGTCATGAAGAGAAACTGCTACCTTTGAGCTGTCAGGTGGGCCCTTGTCTGGTCACATGGCACCCAAGTGAAACCCTGACAGGGACCCCCAGGTAGGCCACAGGGCATCCAGGTTCCAGGGCACTGCTGGCTGGTGGGACACAGCTGCAACAGTAGAGAGCCCACCTGTGCCTGCCTCCACCGCTGGTCAAGACTGAAGGCCGATTCTTCCAACCAAGCTTAGGTGAAAGTCAACTTGTAAATGGACCACCTCTCCAGGGGGCTGCTCCTGCGCTATGGCTTCCTGGTAAGTGATTGCCAGAGAACTACTCTTTAGTTGACAATGGAGCAAAAACACACAACTCCTTCCTGTCATGTGACCTCCAGAGGGCACTGCTTCAGAGTTTATTCCACTCTTCATCTGTCACTTTAACATTAAAAATGGAGCTGCTATGAGAGACAAGTGGCTTTGCTTTTTCTTCACTCAAGCACTAGGTGTGTTAGCATGAATGGGTAGAAGGGATGGAGCTTCCTTGTATGTTAGGAATGAAAGAATAGGTCTCTCCAAGGGCTGGACAGCAAGTGAGGGACCCGAGTGCCAGGACAGTGTGGTTCTCGGAGAGAGCCAAGGCCCGAAAGCAAGCAGAGCGTCTGTTTTGAGGGTGAGGGTGGAGGGAAAGCACCGGCGTCAGCCACTCTGCACTGGGACACAGCCCTGTTGTGCAGGCTAGAGCCTGGGCTCTACAAAGGCAGCAAGAGCAGCCGTCTTCCTATACCCAGCAGCGGGTTACGGAGGTCTTCTGTGATGAGGAGGGAAAGAAAGAGTGAGGGAGGAACTTTAATGTATTGAGCAGAAGGATCTCCAGGTGGCCAGGATGAGAGACTGTGCCCACCCAGCCAGGCCTGTTTCCTTCACAACTCCACTGTCCAGGATGCCAAGGGTTCACAGGAGTTGGTCCCGGGAGAGAGGCTGCGCTTCCAAGCAGTAAGGCTCAGTGAGCACCCGGCTGCTCCTCCCTCCCACTAAACAAAGCCAGCTCCTCTCCTGGTTCTCCAGCCACAGATGAACCAAGAAAGAAGCACGCCCACCACCAGGGGCGTTGCAGGAAGAGTTCTTTATTAAGTATGAACAGCATTTCCATTAAAACAGGAAAATCTTTATACTGTGTCTACAAAATTTGAGTCTCTGCTACAATACGTGCTCAAGTTCTTAATTTAAATGCACATAAAAGGGGAAGGAATATCCCATCAATCTGCACATCATCTCCACAGCATCTGCCTTGTAGGTGCTGATGTCTAAATTGGACAATCATAGACATGAATTTCCTGGTCGTCTCCAACAGACACAATTTTTGAGCCATTTCCATTGTATTTTACTCCCCAGACCTGTAAAATTTAAAAATTCTCTTAATATTTTGTTTCTGAAGACTGTTTACAAGATAAACATCCTCATTCACTTCTCATTATTGTTTTTTAAAATTTTTTTGTTTTTGTACAGGGTCTCACTATGCAGATCATACTCGTAGTGATCCTCCTGTTTTCAGCCTCCCAGCACTGGGATTACAGGTGTGCACCACCACGCCTGGATTCGGTGGCCAGCTCAGCATGCCCGAGGGCAGGGCCAGCATGGCATGTAGTACCAGGCATCGAACCCCAGTCCCTGTGCTTGCCTAAGCAGGTGCTTAGTCCACTGAGTTCTCTCGCTGGCCCTCATTCTGGATCTAGAAAAATATCTGAGATGAGGGTGTTCCTATAGCTCCTAAATCAGAGAGGACAGTGGCTTCTCTTTAACGAGGCACCTTTCTTTTGTGTTATTTAGTTATTACTCCACCCTGAACATTTATTTTTTTGGTGGAACCGTGGATTGAACTCAGGGCCTCGCGCTTGCCAGGGAAGCACTTATTCCACTGAGCCATCTCCCCGGCCCTCCAGAACATTTAAAAAATCTTTTTCAATCAGATTTTATTGGTATACTTTATTTTTTATTTTTATTTATTTATTTTTGCGGAACCAGGGATTGAACTCAGACCCTTGTGTTTTTTTTTTTCTCTCCAGAACCAGGGATTGAACTCAGGCCCTTGCACTTGCCAGGGAGGTGCTTATTCTACTGAGCCATCTCCCTGGCCCTTGGTATACTTTAGATACATTTAATGATCACATTCATTATAGAGAACTTGCATCTATACATAACTTTTTCTTTGTTATTGGCCAGTCCTCTTTTTGGGGGGTTATTTTTAGTAAGGGTCTACAGGTTCTCACTATGTAGATCAGATTCGTAGTGATCCACCTGTGTTTAGCCTCCCAAAGAGCTGGGATTACAGATACATGCCACCACACCCAGTCTCAATCACCTGTCTCAGTGCACCCCAGGGGCAGGGCCAGCACAACAGGCCTGGGGATCAAACCCCAGCCACTGCATCTGCCTAAGCAGGTGCTTTAATCCACTGAGTTATTTGCCCAACCCTGCCCTGCCCTCTTTTCAACCCTTCCTATCCTCTCTATTTACAAAAGTGTTGTTTCCATGTTTTCCTTATTTTTAAAACTTTTCCTTTCTTTTTTTCCCTCCCCTCTTTCTTATTCCCCTCCCCATTTGAACATTTTCTTCCCATTTCACAATACCTATTATACAGTTTGGTCTTTTTTTTTTTTTTTTTTTTTTTCAGAACTGGGGATTGAACTCAGGCCCTTGAGCTTGCCAGGGAAGCGCTTATTCTACTTAACTATCTTCCTGGCCCCCAGTTTGGTCTTTTTTTACACCTTTGGCTTCTCACACCAGAGAATGTGGTATTTATACATGTATATCTGATTTATTTCACTTAAAAGTTATGGTCTCAAAAGCATCCATTCGCCTAGAAATGTCTTGAGTGTATCTTCTGTATAACAATAGTAGTCCACTGTGTAAAAAAACTCCAAATCTTTATCCATTCACAAGTTGATCAGCACTTGGGTTATTTCCATACACAATGCCCTGGTCAGTAGCTTCTGCTTCTTTTTAAAGAGTTCTGGAAGCCAGCCACCATGGGCACCACTGATTTGATGTGTCATGCATTCAATAAGCAACTTCACGCTTCCTTTCCAGGCAGAGCTGATGACAGTCCAGGCTGCCTTTTCTATTGTGAGGCAGTTCCAGGAGGTTAGACTGTCACCTGGCTGTGAGATGTACTTAGCATGGTGTCTGGGACACAAGACTGCTTCACTCCCTCTACAAACCTCTTTCTCTGCAATAGCAGCATGCGGACCCCCACACAGGGCCACAGTGTTATAACCTGACATATGCGCTGCCATCTTGTTCTGTATGCACCATTCTAAATGCTGCAACTATCCATTGTGCCCTGTCGTTCTCTACTTGAGAACCTGCAGTTGGGCCTTTCTCACACTGTCCTCTGTGCACACCCGAATCTAGCTCCAGCCCAACATCCTGTTCTTGCCATCATTCCCGGGCACAAACTATACCCAACCACCCAACCTGTTATTGTTCTTGAAGACAGGTAATTTTTCTACTGTAGCCCCTCGTTGAACCCCTGATGTCACCCTTTTGCGGTTTGTCGGCTTAAGTACCCACTCCCCTCATTCTCCCAGCGTGCACCTTAGCACACTCTGCAGGGTGTCCGCCCCGCGTACCAGCTAAAATAAAGCGCTCTTTTCTTTTTGAGCCTGCCTTGTTGTTTGGGTTACAACACATAGCACCAGGACTCACTCCCTTAAATCCAGCTGCAGACTGCCAAGATCAAGACCAACCCCTGGGACTTTACTGACCACAATATAAGAGTAAATCAGCATGAGCAATTGGTTGACTTCATTCCAAGCTGCATTCCAAAAGAAATCAATACGCATCTGGAAACAGTCAGAGTATGTTAAGGGCCAACTTTTAGCATGCAGCAATGGGGTTTTATTTGTATCTGACTAGTTCCTAAACCTTGATCCACAGAGTGGCTGAGGTCTGCATCTTGCTGTCCCTCTGGGGTGTGTGACAGGCGCAGTATCAGATCCACAGCAGATATGCTGGGTCAGAACTGCAGTTTTTTTAGAGGACCTCAAAGGACCCATGTGTACATTAAGACCAACAAGCCGCACACGCGAACACCTCATGCCTACATACAAAAGTACAGACAGAAACTCCTTTCAAAATTGGAAATGGCCCCACCCCCAGGGCACGCTGAGCCTGCGCTAGAGACTGGGCGTGGTGGCATGAGCCTGTAATCCTAGCACTTGGGAGGCTGTAAACAGGAGAATCACTATGAGTCTGATCTAGTAGTGACCCTGAACACCCTTGAGACCCTTCCCTAAAATACAGGAAAAAAGACAACAAACACAAAATTGGAAACAAAACCCAAACAACTTCTAAGAATTTCCCTTCCAGTATATTAAAGAACAATCCCAGGAGCTGGTGAGATGGCTCAGTGGAATAAGCACTTCCCTGGCAAGCGCAAGGGCCTGAGTTCAATCCCCGGTTCCGCCAAAAAAAAAAAAAAAAAAAAAAAAAGAAAGAAAAAAGAAAAGAAAGAAAAAGAACAATCCTTCTCTTCTTTCGACAATCCTAAAAATAGTAAAGAATAAAGAATAAGTCTGGCAAAGACAGTGCCTAATGGGGGACTGTCATTCCTGAGATTCCTGAGATGATCTCCAGGCCAGGGCCCTTTCTGAGATGATCCTGGCCTAGAGGGGTCCAGAAAAATGCTGCAAAGAGGCTGTGTTTGCAGATGTTGTCACACAGGCAGGGACACCTCTGTGGTGCTAGATGACAGCAGGTCCCAGGCCCAGTTAGACAGACATTAGCAGCAGCAATCCAAACCCAGGGCCTATCACTCTCCACTCAAGGGGAGGACAATAAAACTGTTCCCAGAACTCAAACAATGCTGCACTCTAAAGACAAAGACACTTTAATTATTCCATACCTGATCCTGGTGATCAAAGAAGGTATGAACGCAGGTCCTTGTTCCAACATCCCACACTTTCACACTTTTGTCAGATGAACTGAGTCAAAAATGAACATCAGTATCAGAAAATGGTTCCAGACAGGTTTGAAGCTGAATGTTACCCCAACCCCCATACCTCCCCACCATCACAGGCTACTCAGGTGGCACTGCTTAGGGTGGGTTTGGCAGCTCTGCAGCCCTCTTAGGGCAGCTGCCCTCCTGAGACTCCACCCCTAGGTGCCGTTGTCTGGAGGCCCTGGCCTATCTACCACCTTGGATGAAACTTCCAAGGCTCTGGCAGGGCCTCCAGACCACTAAGCAGAACCCCTATGCTGTCCACTCCCTGGGTCCAGCCACAGTGGCCACCACAGGCCTGAACACACGCCGAGTGTCAGGTTTGTTTTTTTTTTTTGAACTGAGGATTGAACCCACTGAGGTTCTTCCCCAGAACTTATTAATTTTATATTGAGAGGATGTGTTTAAGTGTCTAAGTTGTCCAGGCTGAGCTGGAACTTATGATTCTTCTGCCTGTCTTCCAAAGCACTGGGATCACAGATGTGGTGACCACACCCAGCTCAGAACCACAGATTTTAAATTACTGTTGAAATGCAGGCATACCTCAGAACAGCTGTAGGTACAAGCCTAGATTTATAAGAAAAATCTGAGTTTAACTGTCAAAAGCTCTCACCTTTGTTCCAGCTAAGTCCAGTTAACCTCATTTTTTTTTGGCAGTACAGGGGGTTAAACTAACTTCATTATTTACATAAATAAAAACTTTAAGAACTGCAGAAAATAAAGGCAACTTGAATTTTAAGGGGGTCAGCCTCCAAATTTTAAACTTCCACATTTTAATTTCTAGAATTTTTCTAATTCTGGACAGCATCTTCATCTTCCGAGCATTTGGAAACTACAATGAATCCTGAGTACCTGGAGACGAAGTGAGTGTCATCAGGACAGAAGGCGACGTTCAGCACCCAGGAGGCGTGGCCACTCAATGTGCCGGCCAGGTTGGCATGCTGTCTGCAAGGAGGCAGGGCATACACAAGAGACCTCAGCGCACACATCCCTTCCTGCAGCCCTGGGGACTCAAAGGCACCCAGTGTGTGTGTGGTGGGAGAGGGAACTGGGGAGACCAGGATGACTGAAAGAACCTGAGCAACAGTCCCTACTGGGAAGAACAGGAAGGATGCCTAGTAAGAAGGTGACAGAGCAACCACTGGTGTGGAGCGCAACGCCGCCTTCAACTCACACATCGTAGATCTTGATGTAGCCATCATCTGATGCAGTGACGAGGAGCTGAGAGTCTGGAGAAAAGGTCAAGGAGCGGATGGGCATGGCGTGGCCTGCAATGCACAAAGGCCCTGTTAATCCTGGCACATGGCTTCCCACTGCTGTGTCCCTGTGAATGACCATGCATCACTGAGCTAAAACTGCCCTGCTGCTTCAGTAACAAAAGAAATATATTAGCTGGGCAGGGTGGGGCACACCTGTAGCCACAGCACTCTGGGAGGTTCAGGCAGGAGGATCATAAGTTCCAGTCCAGCCTGTGCAACTTGGTAACTTAAGTGAAATGAAAAAAATAAAAAAGGGAGATCTGGTTCAATGTAAGGGCCCTAGGCTCAATCCTAGTACTGGAAAAAAAAAAAAGGGGTAAGTACTGAGTGGGCTTTTCATCTGAGTGTTCTAGAAACACCCACCTAACCCCAGCCTGTCCTCCTGGAGCCACTTCTCCTTGGTCCCCCTTCCCGGAGGAGCTGTGCTGTATAGCTCTGTGGCATAGCACCTGCCTAGTAAATGTGAGGTCCTGAGCTCAATTTTTGGTACAAAAAAAAAAAACCAAACAAATACAAAACCAGCCAACCAACCAAAACTCTGCTACAGATATGGCCAAACATGGAAATAAGCACTGTCAGGTTGGACAAATAACATCGCCTTCTGTAGGGAAATAATAAACTCAGGAGGTAATACATTCACTTGGCTAGAATTCAAAATAACACAAAAGAATGTGTTTGCCCTCCCACCCACCCTGCTCTTTGGCTCCCCAGGGCCACCAATGTGATCATTATGAAATTAACAACAGAGAAGAGCTGCCTTCCAGCCAAAAGTGCTTCAGAACTAAAAATAACAGAAACACCCTCACATGGCTGAGGTACATTAACACATAAATAAAAAGCAAGTGAATTCACCAAAACAGGCAACTGTCACAAGAACACAGTTAAAACTAGTGACAAGCCCAAAACCAGTGAGAATTCCAAAACTTCAAACCCCTTCAGTTTTACACCTGAGATGAAATGATTTTGCCAACTTAATGTTCCTCTTTAGTCTGATAAGCCAGCTTGCACAAAATCAGGATAAGCTATACCTTCTAGCGTATGCAGAAGCTTTCCTGTTGCAATATCAAAAATGTTGATGATTCCATCTATGGCTCCACTGGCCAGGTACTTCCCGTCAGGACTCTGTAGAGACCAGAAGGAGATGAGTCCTCTGCACTCGTGGCGTTACTCTATCCCTGCTGAACACAACTCAGCCTTGTCAGGCTCCAGGCCTCACTGGCCAGCAGCTCCCATACCAAGATCAAGGCTCAGAAGACGACATACTCCAAGAGTAAATGTGAGGAACCAGAAAGAGAATGCCATGTTTCCTTACATAAGCAATACTGAGAATGAACTTTCCTCTTGTGTCCAAAGAATATTCTTTTTTCCCACTTTCCACACCAAAGATGTTCACTTTTCCCACATGAGTTCCTGTGGCCAGATACTGGGAATCTGGAGAAAAGGCCAAAGTCCAGGCATCCACTGCAAGGAAAGAAGGGAAGAAAAAAAAAAAAAAAAAAAGTGATAAAAGATTTGATTCTGTTTTTTAAAAACAAGTTTAATCAAATGATGCATGTTTATCAGTGAATCCATCCTGTTTCTCTGAATTCTGTTGAAACACTGATTCTTTACATTTAGTTTTAGAGCTTCTTTACCGTTACTAAAAATATGACACCAAGTGCTAGCAAGATGTGGAAAGACCACACACTGGTGGGATGGTAAAGTAAGAAATCTACTGGGAAAATCAGGGTGAAAGCAAACACCACAGTACCCAGCAATTCCACTCCCAGGCAGCTAAGAGAAATGAAATTCAAGAAAGATGAATCATGTAGCAAGATAGCTCAGTGGACTAAGTGCCTGCTTAGGCAAGCGCAGGAACTAGGGTTCGATCCCCAGTACCACATGCCGCACCAGCCTTGTCCCCAGGCATGCTGAGCCGGCCACTGAGACTGGGCATGGTGGTGCACACCTGTATTCCCAGCACTGGGGAGGCCGAAAACTCGAGGATCACTGTGAGTCTGAGCTGTGTAGTGAGACCCTGTACTAAATACATAAAATAAAAATAAAAAATAAAAGATTGGGCTGGGGAGATAGCTCAGTAGAATAAGCACTTGCCTGGCAAGCGCAAGGTCCTGAGTTTAATGCCTGGCACCACACAAATAAGTAAGTAAATAAATAAATAAATAAAATTAAAAAATAAAAGATTAATCATGTCCACACAGACACATGTACCCACGCTTGCAGCAGCTATGTTCACACGCCAACCAACTGGCAAATGGATAAACAAAACATACCTACTCACAATGGAACGCTTCTTGGCAATAAAAAGGAATAAATCTATGGCATCTTAAAAAGCTTTATTATAATCACTCTCTAAAAAAAAGGTGCTTTAGACATATCTTTGTCCCTACATGTAGAGGTGTTCACTCTGACAGGATGTTTTCTTCCCCTGTCCATAGCCACAGGGTGGCCCAGTTTTGAGTAAAGGCTTGCCAGATCTCTGTCAGCAAGCCTTTGCCTGCCCATGTAGAACACATGTCAGTCAGGCCCATTTAGGATTATGTGTTCTTTTTTCAAGCCTTGGCCATTTAATTCAAATCATAAAACTTGAGATGCACACCTAACATGTAACTTCTTATGGTTCAATCTCACTAACACATAAGCCATTAGCAGAACCCTAATAAAAGACGAATTTATAAAACTGGGCCATTTTAATGTTTTTACTTTTTTTTTTTTTTTTAAAGAGAACTCTGGTTTTTTAAAATTTTTATTTTTGACAGAACTGGGGATTGAACTCAGGTTCTTGCACTTGCCAGGGAAGTGCTTATTCCACTAAGCCATCTTCCTGGCCCTGTTTTTACAATAAATAGTTTTCTTGATGAATGTAGTCATGAGAGTTGTTCAGCAGTATTCATGTTATGGTTTTCCTGATTGGTCTGTAGTCTTCAAGAAGTGTAAGAAGTTACTGTATGAAACATCTGTCAAACTAGTAAGACTGCACTTACGCATCCATCATTTTCAGGATTGTTGGTTATCTGAGCATATTTACTTCAAATAATCTTGCCTCCGTGTGTCACAGGGCCCGACTCACCCATGTTCACCTCAGTCACTGTTCCTTTGGTAATAGCACCCAAAGTTGTATACAGTGGTGATGAAGGATTCTATTTCACACCAAGTATTGGCAGACAAAAGGTGGCTTTCAGTTGAGGATGTGTTACATGGGCCTTCTTAAAATGTAAGCCCACTGGCCTAATGAATCTTTCATATTTAGGTAGTTTTATCTTCAACAAAGCAGACTTTAGTAACCATCTTCTTCCATGCCTTCTACTCTTTCCAGCTCAAATAACTTTTAATACTTCCATTTCTCCTTGGGCATGAACTTTGGGCAAATGCACTTCCCGTTTGTCCACCTTTTCTTTTTGTTTTTGTTTAATCATGTTGGAAAGTACTGTTGCATGAGCCTGTGCTTCTCTGTCCAGCAGGTAGGCAGGTACTGCTCCTTGTGGAGTCTTTTCATCTTCATTTGGTTTCTCTTTTCATGTATCTTTTTTGTTTTTTAAATCCTTTACCTGGGTCCTTGAGTTTGTCAGGCAGGTGCTTAGACCACTGAGCTAGCCCCCCAGCCTTTTAATACATCTTGATAGTCTTCTTCGTTTGTATTTTTTCTTCATGGCACTGTTTGTGATAGAGCTTAGCCTTCAGGCCAATCTTTTTTTTTTTTTTTTTTTGCCTTCTTTGAACGTTTACGAGCCTCTTGACTTTCCTTCTTTCTCTTTTTCTCATGGTAATCCAAGCAGTACTCATAGCATTTATGGTGTAACTCAATATATTCATTCTGTGGCATGATGACAGCTGCAGAGCCACCACAGGCAGCCTCAGGTGTACAAAGAAAAGTCCTAACTTTGGGGTGTCCCAGACGCATGAGCTGCCTCCGTGCAGCCAGGAACAAGAAAGGAAGATTATGTCTTCTTAATTCCACTGCAATTAGCTGTTTATAGGAATAACAGCTAGTAGAAAACCTACTTTCTAGTCCTCAAACCTTAATAAAACATTTCTTATAAATTATTTTTACATCTTATTAAGTGTTTTGCAAGAAACAATTTTTAGTACCAAATACCCATATGTTCAAAACTGGAATAATACTTCTCACCTCCCAACCAAATCCTGCACTCTGATTTAACATTTGCAGAATAAATGTTCATTTCAGTCTCCAAGTGTCACTTCCTCTCTGAAAGGTGGGCATTGTGGGCACCTGGCACTAAGAGGCTCCATGGCATTTGCTCTTCCCAGTGAGGATCAATGCAGAACTGTCCTTGCAGCTTGGCTTGTTTCTACCTCCCCACTTACATCCTTCAGGACAGGGATTTTTGTCTGCTGTTTCTGCCTTCCATGGTGGTTCATATTCTTAATGCCTATTTTTAAGCTAGGTATAACTAACTGCCTGATTTCCCTCCATTCCTTGGAGAACTTTGATTCATCAAGGAGCTGAACCTTCTGACAAATTCAGCCACTTTTTTGCTCAAGTAACTCTGCCGTTTACTGACTTAGGTCTAGTTTTGTGCAGATTCCAACCTCTGTTCTTTCTAGGATCTTCTTGACAGCCCCGCCCCTAGAGAATAAATACAGGCACCATTTGTCACAGAAGGCCAGCAGGACACATCATTTCCCCGGAAACAACACTGTTTTTTGTTTTTTGTTTTTAAAGTACCAGGGATCAAACTCGGGACGTTGCATTTGCCAGGCAGGCACTTATGCCACTGAGCTATCTCCCTGACCCAACACCACACTCATTCCTTCAGTTGTGATGTCAGCAGGGCCACAAGGATGATATGACAACCAGTGTCATAGCTTGTGGGAGGACATGGGTACCCAAGAAGCAAGCACTGGATTTGCCCCTTTCTCCTTTAGTAAGATGCTCCTTGGCTGATGAGATAGCTCAGTGGTCTTAAGTGCTGCTTAGGCAAGCGCAGAGACCACAGTTCAATCCTGGGTACCACGTGCCACGCCAGCCCCACCCCCAGGGCAGGCTGAGCAGGCCAAAAAAAAAAAAGAGAGGGACAGACAGTTGACAGGAAACAGGGAAGACAGACCTTTTGGAAATGAGAAGGAGACCAAAATGGTGGGAGGGGAAGGGGATATAAAAAGAATTAAGCTGCTTATGTCCATGTACCAACTCCTTAAGACGAATGTGATCACTATGTACTGCAAATATGTACTGATTTTAAAAGGCCTAGGGGGAAAAAAAAAGATTATGCTACCCTAGAGTACTTTTAAAAATTAATGACTATGTTGCCTTAAAAGTTTCAAACTGCTCACATACTAGAAACCAGGCACTTAAATTGCAGTTAGTGGAGGTTACCAGCACACAGCTCTATGAAGACACAATGCTCTATGTGCTGAGCTTCCACAAGGCAGTGAATGAATCAACTTAGAATAAGGCAAATAAAGAACCATCAGACCACCCAAACACAGGTCTACAGTCTTATATTGCCAATTCTGAAACCCACTAAGCTTTGCAAACTAAGTGTTTTTACTTTTTTGGCAGCATTGGGGACTGAACCTACACTGATCGACATTCTCAAGCCTTTATTTTTATTTATTTAGAGACATGGTCTCATTAAATTACCCAGGCTGGGCTCAAACTTGCCATCATTCTACCTCAGGCTCCCAGAGTACTATGAAAACTATTAGGTTTTTCTTAAGCTTAGAATCAAAATTAATGTAGCAAGGCTACTTTTAGACTTTACTTTTCACATTCTCACATTTAACTGCAGTATCAGTGTTTGCCTACACAGAAGGCACTTGTAATGTACACTTCCTATACCCACATTGGCCCTCTCAAATCTGAAAAGGCCTAAACAACAAACACATACATCTCTAAGGGCTTTGAAAGGAACTGTGAAGGGCCAGCCAGATAGCTCAGCAGGCTAGAGCACCTGCATAGGCAGACACAGGGACTGGAGTTCCATCCCCAGGGGGCTGTGCTGGCCCTGCCCCAGGGCGTGCTGAGACAGCAACTGAGACGGGGTGTGGTGGCACACACCTATAATCCCAGTGCTTGGAAGGCTGAAAACAGGAGGATCACTACAAGTCCCATCTGTGTAGTGAGACTCTGTAGACCCTGTACCGAATACAGAAAGAAAAAAGAAAGAAAGAAAGAAAGAAAGAAAGAAAAGAAAAGAAAAGAAAAGAAAAGAAAAGAAAAGAAAAGAAACTGTGAACCTCTAGGACCTCCCCTGAACAGAACACCCTTACCAGGTCCTGCATCTATAGACTTTATCTGTTTGCCATTTTCCAAGTCCCAGAGACGAATGTGGGCATCCAGAGAGCTGGATGCAGCAATGGGCAGCGTGTGGCTAATGTCCACAAACACCACCCCCAGCTGGTGGCCATCCAGACTCCACTGCAGGTCCAGCCTCTCATCAGACCTGCATGGGGTGATAGAGAAAGGAACAGCTTCACATATAAGACAGTGACCCTGACATTGAATTCCTGGGTCCCTGTGACCACATATTACCAGTGGTCTCTGAAAGGCAGAATCAGAGAAGAATTAAAGACCAGGTTTTAACCTTGAGATTTCTTTTTTAAATAAATAGGATCAAATAAATAGGGCTTTAATACCAAATAATAGAAAAAGAAGACAACAAACATAAGCTGCTGTTTCATATTACCATACTGCTATTGCTTTCTGTTCTAGAACAGCACAAAAAAAAGAAAGAAAAAAGAAAAGCACAGATACTTCCCTGATTGCAATCTGGGAAACCCAATTTTCCAAGCTCTGTGGTAGAAGAGGGGTGCTCACCATTTCCAGACCTTCACTAGGTCATCCAGGGATCCTGTGACCACCGTTTCAGAGTTTTCCTTCTTGTTTGTCCCCCAGGCAACTGACCAAATAGCATCATCATGGGCTAGAAGGGAAAGTACTTAAGTTCCTGTACATGCAATTTCTATATTTCATGATAAAATGAAGCTGAAATACTGTCCACTGATTCTGAGGTAGGCCCACTTCTGTCTGCTTTAATGCTTCACAGGCATTTTCCATTTCATTGCAATTATGGGTTACATAAGCAGAGCAGAGGGTCTGAAGAAGCTGCACGCCCTAAAACAAAGTGAACCAGGTGGGGAGGCAGAACCAGAACGAGCCAACCCCAACTCAGTGCCCTGCTGGCACACTTCCCAGCACTCAGCACTAAGAGACAGCTATCCTTGGCTTAACAAGGAAAATCTACAGTAACCTGCTTCTACAGAAAGACCTAAATTCAATATGAGAATAATCTTGGAGCTCTTTGGAAACCAGCAAGCAGTTCAACTGTCAGCAGTGTAGGTCTAAGTAAGTTGCCTTTTACTATCAATGTTTTTATTGTGCTTTATAAGCCAGATAATTATGTCCGTCCTCTTACAAGTGCTGTCTCAATCACAATAGTTCTACCCTCACTGTATAGACAAGGAATTAGAGGCTTAGAGAAGCTCAGCAGCACACCAAGTCACAAAGCTTACAAGGGGCAGAGCTAGGATTGAAAGCCAATTTCTTATTAGGTGAAGTCCACCTCAAACCCAAGCCTGCAAGCTGCATATGTGGTGGGCCACACAGTTGGTCCACTGACTGGTGTGGGTACACAAACGTGACAAGTACACATAGAAGCATGACCATGCCAGGGTCATCATTTCAAACCATGAGTACAAGAGCACTAAACATAATAGCTATGACTCACACACAGAATCATGGCTTCCTTTGTGATCCCACCTGACCCAGGATGCTGGCGTTAACCTTGTATAAAGAAGATGGATGCTGTACTGCTCACCTACATTTGTTAGCTAAGAAGGATGCTTTGGCTTCAGCACTGCATAAACGTCACCCATGTGGAGTGAAAGGGTTTTTTTAGGCACCCAAGACTTCCCAAATACAGCAAGGCTGTGAAGAAACAAGACCCTACACAAATGCTGCTCCCTGCAAGTGTAAGATCTGTGTCACTGCAGAGTCACTTGTCCACACTGGACTCTGAGTTTGCATCTGCTCCCAGGCCCACCAGGGTGAATGCTACATAGCCCCCACCCCCACCCCAGGGCCTTGAAGGTCACCTCACATGGGCTGAGAGGTAAGGTGTATCCTGAGCTCAGGGCCGGGCAAGTCCACCTGCCTGGCTGAGCTGGCATGAACACAGCTCGGAAGCTCACAGCTTGGAAGCTCAAAGCTTCCCCCACCCTCCCAGCACTTAGGTAGCTCAGTTACAGCTGCTCAGCCTGGAGCTCTTATTTGTCACTTGACTCCTTTTTCCTTTTAGTCTGCTACCCTGTTTTTGTTTCCTTCCAAGTATGTATCTTCTCAGCTGCCTCTGCCAACTGTTCTGCAAAGTGAGAGCACCTGGGACCTGCCTGGCAGGCTGGTGAGATGACATCTCAAAGGAACCAGGGAGAACAAACTTCTCATACAGTGGCATGGATCTGCTTTAACAGGTCAGCTTCTTACCTTGCTCTTGTTTGAAGAGAATACTGTACTGGAAAAGAACAGAAGCCACAATAAGCTACCACTTAAGATGGTGCCCATCCCCCCCCCAAGCTCCCCAAGTGGACTGCAGTCTTTGTAAGAAAGTGCTGGCCACTCCGTCTGCTGCTGCCCACATAGCGCTCATTCCTGCTCAAGTCAGACAGGTATGGAAGAAATCAATTTTTGTTGTTAGTCATTTTTAATGTATTTGGTACAGGGTCTCACTATATAGCTCAGACTCGTAGTGATTCTCTAGTTTTCAGCCTCCCTAGCATTGGGATTACAGATGTGTGCCACCATGCCTGGACTTAGTGGCTGGCTCCGCATGCCCAAGGTCAGGGCTGACATGGTATATGACGCCAGGGATCGAACCCCAGTCCCTGCAATTGCCAAAGCAGGCACTTAGCCCACTGAGGTATCTCACCAGCCCAAGAAAAATCAATTCTTAAAGATACTGATATTCCCTGCTTGCCTCCTGCCACCCCCCCCCCATGCCTACAGGAGGCCAAGAAACTATGCTTTCCTATTCTGCTCCAATCACTCAGGAGTCTAAGACTGCAGCTTAATTTTTGAAGTTGTATAAGACTGTGCAGCTTGTATAACTTGTTACTTTTGTCCCTAATTTAAAAGTGGTTTTTCCTGTTCTTGATCTTTGTGTTCATGTACTAATGCTTTCCTCAGCTCCTCTCTACTCTATGGTGAAGGCTAAACAAACAAATCCTGCTCTTAGTCTGCATTTCACCTATGCCACTGAGCCCTATGATGATGAGGTACCCCAGGCCACCCAGCTCTTTAGCAAAAGGGCAGGAGTTCAATGCCAGCCTCCTAACTCTATACCCTGACAACCTACTGGAGCTGAGCTTGCCAAAGAGACCAACTGATGTTCTTCCCCTCAACACATGCCTTACCTGGTTGGTCATGTCCTCAACCAAGAAGAGGGCCTAAAGGCCAGACAGCTCTGTGGAAACAACACCAGAGTTTCAATAAGGTGTCCCTGGAGCAGAGGGGCCTACAGGAAGTTCTCTTCACTGAGACAAGATGAGCCTTTGCTAAGGAGTTATCCCAACACCTTTCTATCATTCCCTGGGATCCCTTGACAGGCTCTGCTAAGCTGTGTGGTCTTCTTTCTCCCAGGGACTTAACACCACCCCAATCAGGTGAATTCTTCTCCCCAACTCTTGCCAGTCTGTCCCCTGCTGCTCTTTAGAGACAAAAAGCAGATATTAGATAATATTTATTCCACTCAGCAGGCAAACTTGAGGAATCCAAGAATAGCAAAGTTCTTATAGTCTATGTAGAGGTCTCAACCAAAAATGCTTTAAGGGCCTATATATAAGAGGATACAGGGAGATAAGACTTCCAAAACATAGTAAAGTCTTCAAGGACCTAACTTAAACATAAACCTAACTCATTTTAAGACTTGATTTAATTTCATGAGCTACACTAAGAGTTGTGTATGTGTATGTGATATATGTTACACTGAACTCAGGGCCCTGGCACCAAGCTATATCCCTAATGCCTCACTCCCACTCCCTTTTTAAAATGTTAAGAGTTTTAATAAATTTCCCAGGCTGGGCTTAAACTTGATATACTTTTGTCTTGGTCTCTCAGAGTGCTGGGTGTCCAATATCACACTTGGCTATGTTCTTAATATTGTTTGTGCAAATAACTGTCTAGCAGCCTTGAAAGGGTATATATCGTTTTGCTGGATACTTTTAAGAAAGAAAGGCTGGGGATATAGCTCAATGGAGAACAATTGCCTACATGTACCAGGCCTAGGGTTTAAACCTGAGAACAACCAAAAAAGGAAGGAGTAACCAAATGCAGTGAGTTCTCTCTATTCATCACAGTATGTTCTATAAAGTCTCCACACACACTAACTTAGCAAATAATAAGAAGTGCTTCAAGGAGACTCAGGGTTAGTTTTTAAATCCTCTGGACACAATCTTTTTATCAATTGATTAATATATAATCAGGTTTTGTGGGTTTTTTTAAATAAAGGCACCTTACTGAATATACATTAGTACTGTAATTCATTCATATTGAATTCATGCCTATTATGATTTGTGTCCAGATGTCCACCCAAAGTCTCATACCATCATAGGGCTTTTACAGAAAAGGCTGAATCTATGGTGGGGAGATAGCTTGGTAGTCTAAGCACCTGCCTGGCAAGTGCTTCAATCCCTGGTATCACATGCTGTGCTGGCCCCAAAACCCCAGGTACACCATGCTGGCCACAATACAGGTATGGTGCCTTATGCCTGTAATCCCAGTGCTGGGGAGGCTGAGACAGGATGATCACTATGAGTCTGAACTGTGTAGCAAGACCCTGTACCAAATGAATGAATGAATGAATGAATGAATAAAATAGCTGAATCTAGAGTGTGTGATGCTGGGACTGAGGGTGTGTGATCAGTCTACTGATTGGTTTGGTACTGACCTAATGCCAGTAGACTAGAATATAAAAGGGGCAGAAGTATGATGTTAAAACCCCTTGTTGCTTTGCTACAGTCTACCGCCGTGAGCTGTTTTCCTCTGCCAAGCCACCCTTCCTTGGAGCCAGTTAATTATGGACTGAAACCTCTTCAAACTGCGCTGTCCTCCCTTAACTTTTGGTGTCAGATATTTTGTCTCAGCAATGAGAAAAATAACTAAGATAATGCCAAACACACCTATTTTCTCCATAAGATACACCACAACCTGCTTGCAGTCAGGAATACGGGATAACCCTTCAGCACTGTGCTCTGGGGTTATCTTAAACATGGAGTCTAAAAAACAAACAAACAAACACGGGGTCTCCATCAAAAAGGCAAAGAACTAAAAAAACCATGTCACCAAACACTGCAAACAGAGCACTTGAGTATAGCATGAGAGTGGAAACAAAAAGACAGCGTACCAGCTAAGGATTGAGCATCACATATTCCAATTTTTCACCACTTTGCACATGGCATCCAAAGAATATAAAAGTTTTGCAAGCATTGTCTTTGAAGGTACTAATAAATTTTAGGAAGCAGAATCCACAAATACTGAGGAGAGCCTGCTAAAAGACACCTTTATCAAAATAGGGAAACTAAATTTGTGATGGTGTAATCTATAAGCTTTATTAACACATTACACAACAAGATCTAGCAGCCATTCTAATAACTATAATTTCAAAGTGAGGTCAACTTAAACCCCCTAATAGAAACTAACTGCAATTTCTATTCATAACAAACACTGATTACTCATGTTTGTTGCCTAAATTCACAATGGAAGAAAATTGTAAATTTCAGTCAAAGATTAAAGCACAAAAGTGCAATTATTCTTCTCACCGAAGTTCATAGTTCCTTCAGTTTTATCCACAGACATCCCAAGAGACCATACAGCTAAGACATCGAAATTCACGTTACTTGCTTTAAATCTGCAAACCCAGAAAGGCTACCAAAGAATAACAGAAAACTCAAACAAACACAAATTATTTCTAAGCAATTCTTGATAATAGAGATCCTACTCGCATGGTCAGTGTTTTATTCTTTTGTGACCCAAGAACAGGGCCTAGCCAGAGAAGAGACAGGAAAGGGTTCAAGCCAATTCTGCTGAAACAAACAGCACACAACTTCTCCTTGAGCTCCAACCCTCTGCCCAGTGAAGCAAGGGCTTGTCCTCTTCCCTGTTGATCTGGGCTTTACATCTGACAACGGAAAGAAACAATAACAAAGACCACAAGAAGATAGACTTTCTTTTCTTTGTCTTTCTGAGACAGGGTCTCACTATGCAGTTCAGACTGGCCTTGAGCTCAGTTTGTAGCTCAGGATGATCTCAAACTTGCAACAATCCTCTTGCCTCAGCCTTTGGAGTGCGAATGCTGGGATTACAGGCTTGTGCCACAACACCCTGCTAAGAAGACTTGTGAAGGCAATTTCCAAAAAGGCAGCCTCGTCAAGATTGGGTCCTAAGGTACCAATGATTGCACGTTTGAGGATGTACTATGAATCTGGTCCTATTTTAAACACAACACACACATTAACTCATTAAGCCCCCATGTGGTAGGTACATTTATTATTTTTTCTACTTTGATACGAAAAGTGTGGTTTACAGAGATTAAGGAAGCTTCCCCAAGGCCAGTCTGACGTTTGAAGGTGAAGAAAAGCTAAGCCCTGGCTACCAAGATGCCTCACCTTACTCCAGCATCTTACCTCATGACACCCTAACTCCAGAGCCAAGAGACCCGTAAGTCTTTTTTCGGGCCATCTTCTCTCCTTAGGAGACGTTCCTCTAATTTTACCAAGACAGCATTCATTGCTCTTGCCTCAGAGTACACGCATGCCTCTGCTAAAGCTCTCAACCCACACCAATAATCTGCGATACTACATGGTGCTTAAAGAGACAGCCTTCGCCTGTTGGTGTTCAGTGCCACATAGCTCGCTACCTAAAAGCGGGGTTCCATACAGGAACCCTCGGGTAAGGTAGTCCTTCCGTCTCCGGAGAGGCCTCCCCTGCGGAGAAGCCAGCCCCACCCTCGGGGCTGCACGGCGCGTCCCCCTCCAGAATGCCAGACGAGGCCACCTCCTGGCCTTCCCTGCACCAGCCAGCGCGCCGCGAGTAGCCAGGGTACGCGAAGACGGAACACGCTCTCCGGGCCCACATCCCTGAACACACTTCTCAGAGGCAGCCTCTGGCCCACCCCACCCAGCTGCCCTCTGGTTCTGGCCATCAGCTGCCCCCACGACCACCATCCCCAACCTCCGTGAGGATTCACTCACCGCGGCGCTTCTGACGTCAGGCCAGAGCGACCGCGGCGCATAGAGATGCGCCAAAGCGCGGCGAACTTGGATAAGGGGCGGGGAGAGACCACGCCCATTGCTGCTCTCGGAGGCGGGGCCACTGGGAACCCGCCCTGGCCGCGCAGGCGCAAAGCTCAGCGAACGCAGGCGCAGACGCACAGAAGGTGGGCCGGGAGCCGTCCGGCTCCACGCCTTGGCCTTTGGGTCTGGCTGCTGGACCCCTGTCCCTGCAGCTTGCTGATGGCTCCCAGGGTTCTGTTATTTTTCGAGCTGCCAACCAAGCCTTATCAGAGTGTCACTTTAGTAGGTCATTAGAGCATTTTTAACGAATGGGATTGAAGGGAGGCAACCAATAAGCCATTCTCTACGTTTCCTGTTTCTGATTCTCTTTGTCTGTCCTCACAGGATCCAGTGGGTCAGGAGCACCTTGAGGTCTGTGATGATCGTGATGATTACCCAGAACTGAGGCCGTTTGTGCTTACCAATCAGATCCCCCAGGTCCATCCGTTGGTGCTCTGTCCCCAGAATGACACAGGGTCCAGGGAAACTCCATCCAAGGTCAGGGAAGATCACTGCATGTCACTGGCTTAGAACATTGAGTGAAAGTGAGCATACTGAACTGTCTCCTAAGAGTGGACACTCCTTGGCCATCTGAGTGTGTCTGACCACGGGCACCTGACATGGAGAAGGAAGATGTACTACTGTTGCACTGTGAGGTCATTCGTTGTGCACACTGACCTCCGTGCCAGGGGACCCTGGTGTCAGACACACCCAACAGAGACAAATGCACACAATGCCCTTGCAAAGGTGGATCTCAGTTGTCACGGTATACAAAAAGGACTTCAACCCGCAGAGCAGTGGCTTTGAACAATGCCATGAATGGTCTAGTGCCTTCCTGTGTAACCTTCTACTGTGGTTTTGGTCACTCTACCCCACTGCCTTGGGGTTTCTCAGAGTTTGGAAACAGAATGTTTATCATACATCCTCTCCCACTCCAAGATATCTGGGCCACTTTCTAGCTTTCAAATATAAAGATGTAATTTTGAAAGCCTCACACTTAAACAATGGTGAAATTTTGGCTACTAAAAGAGCAACTATCTGATTAAATGTGTTTTAGTTTGCATGACTCAAGCTTATGTAGGTTTTTACTCTCTGTACATTAATTGTAAGCATTCTGCCTCCAAATTATTCTAAAAGCACACTGATCATTTTGTGCCTTTTAATTCATCTGCTACTCAACTGTTAAGGCTTTCCCCTTCTGGATACTTGCATCCAAGCGCACTATTATTAATTTCCAAATGAAGTAAGTTGTTTTGAATAAAATTTAAGTTAATGACCTCAAAAGAAGAAATAGACTACAATAAGGAAAACAGAATAAAAGATCCAACTGTGCACCAAGCATCACAAATGTACATCATGCTTCATAAAAATGGTTTCACTTCTGTAGTTGTTGGGCCACCAAAGAAAATATTTCTTGCCATGAGTCATGGCCAAAAAGTTTGGAAGTCACCATATTAAGGGCAATCTAAAGACTTTCTAGTTTTATATTTATGACAAGAACTCTCAATTTCTTTTTTTGAGACAGGGTCTCAAATGTGCAAATCTTTCTTTCTTTCTTTTGTTCTTTCTATCTACCGGCTCAGCCCAGCCTGAGGTGGGGCTGATGTGGCATGTGGTGCTGGGGATCAAACCTTGGTCCCCTGAACCTGCCTATGCTTGTCTAAGAAGGTGTTTTAGACTGCTGAGCCATCTCGCCAGCCCTCACATCTTACTTTTAATAAAAGATGTATTAAGCAATTAATATATCCTTATACCACAGCATTGGAACTGAGTTATCCAATTAGAGATGCCTTTTGTATCTGATGAACATTGTGAAGCTTGTCTGAGAATGTTTCTAAATGCATAAAAAATGCATAAAAACAAAACACCGAAGAAAATAATTATATCAAAATAGTTATCAAAATATGTCTAGAATTGCCCATGAATGAACTTTTTATTAATATAGCAGAAATAATACCTTCTGTAATTTCAAAATACTGATGAACATAAACAATATTTTAATTATCTCAAATGCAATAATGTAATGGAAAGATAGCTGTGATTTGTATTAATGACAAGGTCATAGTTACTGTCAATAGAGTACTTCTATATTTGTCCTATATAATTTATTGTTTTATTTGGTACAGGGTCTCACTACACAGCTTGGACTCATAGTGATCCTCCTGTCTCAGCCTCCCCAGGGCTGGGATTACAAGTATACACCACTAGGCCTGGTTTTTGTGGCCAGTACAGTACACCTGGGATTCTGGGGCAGGCACGGCATGCAGTACCAGGGATCGAACCCAGGTCCTTGTGCTTGCCAGACAGGCACTTAGACTGGCAAGCTATCTCCCTAGCCATTTATAATTATAATTATAATTGTTGCATAAAATTATATGTTGCATATAATTACAATTTTAAAAATGTTAAATTCTAGCTATGAGTTAAAATGAAGACATAATTACTTTCCTTTCTTAGCTCGCAGGCCCCCCTAAATGCCTGTTGAGAAAATCTGGAGTTTTGCCAATGTAACTACATTCCACTTAAATATCTGAAATAGGAGTTGTGATCTTGTGGATGAATGATTTAGCATAAAATCAAGCAAACACTTTTGCTAAGGATGAGCGAGGCAGCAGTGAGGTGTTTGGCCTGCCGTGAAAAGTTTGCCAGCCATAGGAGGCCAAATTTGAGCCTATCCTGGAAGGCTGCAGCCCCACAGGTCACAGCCCTGGGCAGATGCAAGTAAAGTCATGGGGCCACAGCATCTGGGACTCACCCATACCCTCTCCTCTCCTCACCACTCAGAGCAGAAGGAGCCTCACAGATCTATCCCATACCTGTCTTCTTATAGTAACCCCATTATAGGGTGAGTCAGCCACTACTTGTGCACCTCCAGGGACAGGGAGCTCACTACTTCCTGAGTCCTCTTTTCCAGTTCCAGAAAGACTTATCTGCCATGCCAGAAAAGACATGAATCAGCAGATGAGGAGGCAAATGGCCCTATCCTCACCCCCATGGCTGACACTCAGACCCCTTCCTGTCCTCCTCCTCCCTTCCTCAGGCTTCAGAGCCTATGGGGATGCCACTTGTAGGGACACCATCTCATCAGAAAGTATTTCCTTCTGTCCTCTATGCCCCCACAGACAGAGCCCAGGCCCTTCCTACTTCCAAGTTGGATACATGGTGGCAAAACAACTTGGGCTCTACAGCTACCATGAGGTGTAAATTATGCAAGCTCACAGTGGGGTCTCTGAAATGGAGATCATAATAGAACTTACCTTGGAGGCTGACATGAGGATTAAAAGAGGCAGTACATGTGACATGCTTAGGACAGCTTCTGGCACAAAGAAAACATGGAATTATTATTCTGGAAGCCACCTTGACAGGGAGACCCAAGAGCTTCAAGGTCTCGTTCCTTCACCCAGGGGTGAAGGGTGCTCATTGGACAGCTCAGGGGTTTACATCTCTGATGCTTATTGCCCAACCATGATACACTCTGGGGTATTTCTTCACAAGGAATTTTCTAGAAAGTTCTTCCCCACAAAGCTGTGATTAACATACTAGGTTTACACATTCTTATCTTGAATTCTCATGGGTGTATATTATTTGTAGATTGTGTGTATGTACTACTCTACTAATACATTTGCTTTGAGCCTTGCATGGAAAACACAGGATGCAGAACCCCGACCAGTGCCATCAGGACAGATCAGCTTCACTTAACACAGAAAGGTAAACTCACCCTGAAGGAGGCAAAGGACTTACCGGCCCCTTGGCCAGCAAGGCAAGGTAAGGAAAGACCAGGAATCCCTTAGGAAATGGCTACTTCTCTTTTCATTCCTAATATCTCAGTTGGGGAGGAGATGGTGGGACCAGGCAACCAGAGGAAAAAAGGGGTGACCAGAGGCAGAGTCTAGATTCAAATTCGAACCCACAACACATGTTTCCTATCTCTAGGAGTCCAAGGTCCAAAGTCCTCCTCAAACTAGCCTCCTCTGGGACACAAGCCACAGCTGTGGTAAAACTACTCTAGGGCTACCCTGAGGGGTAAATTATACAAGCTCACAGTGGCGTTTCTGAAATGGAGATAATAACAGAACTTACTTTGGAGGCTGACATAAGGATTGAAAGAGGTAGCGTATCCGCAGAGGAGCTTTACCAAGACTGGCCAGAGGGTGGCAGTCGCCACCTGCTCAGGGCCACTGATGGAGGTCTGGGTGCCTCCTGTGGCTTCACGGTGGGCCCTGGACCAGCAGAGACTCTGTGCTTTGTACACACCTGGCAGGAGAGCATCTAGGTTGCAGTAAAGGATGGTGAGAGAAGTGGAAATGAGAGGACCTTTACCTGCAAAGCTAGAGGCCGTCAAAAGGCAAAGGCTGTGGCGGGGTGGGAGGGGACTTTAGGTCTACAGGGGCTGGGATCAAAACTGGCTCTGGGAAGAGAACTCGTGGCCTTGGATTTCCCAAGGGACCTAGACACCCCTTCCCAGGACAGCCAGGGAGAGCAGGTGCTGCATCAAGCTGCCAAGCAGGAAGCCTCAGATCAAATGTGTTTGGGAGGACAAAGGAAATTCAAGAAGCAGAAAGTGGCCATTAGAACAGCCTTGTGGCCGAGCTCCTCCCCCATCAGAGATGGAGCCGTCACCGCCTTCACTTCTCGGGACTGCTGGGCTAAAATGAGCAGAATTACAGGCTGTGCAGCCTTGTGTGCAGTGACAGCTGACAGGCCAAGCAGCCAGAAAACACTGGGGACTTCCCCCCAGGGGCTGCTGTTGTCATTGCAGCAGGCACCATCCTACACCTGAGCACTCACCGCATGCCTAGTACAGGCTGCGTGTCTCCCTCAGCCTGTCTCTGTAAGAGGGTTTCCATGGAGCCTGCCTCTGTCTGTGCTTCTTTGGACCTCAGTTTGCCCGACTGTCCATCCAGTGAGGTTGCTAGATCTGGGCTGCCTTCTGTTTTACCTCCTACTACTCTCTCATAGAGTGAGC